TAGAGATATGTCATTACAATTCGTTTATTTGGAAAACTGCTATTATAATTTTATCTCTCACTCGTTCGTGCCATTTTGTACACATACAGCGTATATGGGCCTAGTGTCAGGCATGTATGCCTACACAAATGCATACGAACGTTACATCCTGCTTCCTCCATTAGAGTAAGATTGCCATCGCTCTCTACTAGTCATCGTCGCGTTGGCTACCGTCGACGAGCTCCACCTTGCGTAGTGCCCGCTGCGAGCAAGAGCCGCTCCACACACGGGATGATGAGCGTAGGCATCCTAGCAGCACTGCTATTTGCACTCTGACTTAGGGCTAGTGGCACGCCGCCGCTACCCCTCATCCTCTGCAAAACGATGCGCCTCGTGCTGGTCCCCTGCCTGTCGTTCTTGTTCTAGTTATGGGACATGTACGCCACCATGTGCGTAGCCAGGGTGGTGGAGGTGGCGTCCATGGAGGGTCCACGCTGGGCAACCCCATGGCGGCGGCGCACGTGCTCAACCACCAGTGCGAGATCCATGCCACGACCGCCATCGAGAACCTCCTCGTCATGTCCATCAACACAGGGACGTCAGCACGGGGTCACAGGGCATTGGTCACGCCATCATGGTGCACCTATGCTTGGGCGTGAGCCTGGTGCTAGGCTACGCATCGCGCTCCGATGAGGCAGCCACCGCCCATGACTCCCTTAGGCCAAGGATGCGCCAGGACGAGGCGCACGCAGGACAGCGAGCTTGGTCCTGGCGAGCAACAAGAGTAGGAGTGTTATTGGGGGGGGGGGTTCGGCGCGTGAGATGGCGAGCTGTAAGTGTAGGCGACTCGGGTGGCTTGGCATAGGCGATGGCGAGCAGCAGGCGCAGGCATGCTGACTTAGGTGGCTTGGTGTGCAAGACGACGAGCAGCAAGCGCTGGCTGACTGACTCGGGTGGCTTGGCATTCGCAACCTGAGTGTGTGATGGCGATGCCCTCTTTCTTCTTCCACCCTCTCCTGCTTGCATGCTTCAATGGCGTCTATGGAGCTCCCACATGTCAACCATCACCTTCGTCTCCTCCAACCCTGTGCTCCCGTGCATCTAGGAGGTAGGAGCTCGCCTTGGGAGGAGCTTGGCGAAAGGGATGGATGGGGTTCACTCAGGAAGGAGTTGTGCCATGCCGCTGTGGAAGGCTGCTGTGTCGCGGATGGGGAGGAGCTCGCCCAAGGACAACGCGTGTCCCACGCCCTCACTTGCTCTATTTAGCACCATGGCCTCATGCATCGCAGCCAACACATACCCCGCCGTGCACCGTGGCCAACACTACCACCAAGGCCTTCGAACGTGTGCTCATCATGAACCTGCTCGAGTTCCCTGCAGCGGCCACCATCAACAACCGGAGCAAGTTCCCCGCCGACGCAGACCATGGGGTAGATCCCTACGGGGAACCCCCGTCGCTCTCGCGCGCCACAGCATAATAGCGTGTGGCGTCGATGCGCACGTCGTGGAGAGCAGCGATGTCGACCATGGCGAAGGGCGCGACGTCCGCACAACAGCAGACGGGGTCAGGAGCTGCGTCGAGCATGGCATCTGTGGTGAGGCAAAGCGAAGGTTCTGTATGGCGCATAGGCTGCCACTCACGCACAGGTAGCAAGCGCTCGTCCGCTGTGGTATTTGGTTTCAACGGAGGAGGAGGAGGACTTAATGTCCATATGCATTGATGTACCCATACGTGTTTGACGGTGGGCCCATATACGCTAGAGGCGTACAAAATGACATGGATGAGTGAGAGATAGAATTATAATGATAGTTCTCCAAATAGACGAATTGTAATGGTGTATATCCAAACTTGCAAAATTGTGATGGCGTGGATCAAAAAAATCCTTACTTTTATATGCTAGTTACAATTGTTATGACAATATCAGTATTCATCTTATTCATGTTCTTTGTTATAATATTCATGGTCTACTTTGATTATATGCTTAGTATAGTTGGATTATCATTATATTCATGCATAAGTTCGTATAGCGCTCACTCAAAGGATCCATGGGTGGGTGGTCGACATTGTGTAAGCGTGGTGCTTATACGTTGTTTACCTATGGATACACCCTATATTCTGGGTCATGTGATAGATCGCGGATGTGACATTCTCGTTGAGTACTTTGTAGTCCAATCCCCGAATATAGGCGCATGTAGGGTTCGGTTACGAAGGAAGAGCAAGTTTTGTTCTTAATCTTCCTTAGTAATATCTCTTATGTGTAGATATGATGATGATCTTAACAATGATTATTAGGTATAATTGCACTAATCAATGTATGCTTTGACTTGTAATTAAGAATGACATAGGAATTATTCCTCTAATATTCTACCTGACCATGCGAATGCCATAGAAAGGAGTACTCTGAGTGATTTGTTCTCATTGATCAATACTTATCATATATATATATATATATATATATATATATTATCCTATGACTTACTCCTGTTATGAGTAGAATATTGGTTATGGTTTACTTCTCCTTCAATAGTATAAGTTATCGATATATGTCCATGCTAGACCTTCCCTGTGGTAAAAATATAAATAACGATACGGTGAATACTCTCGGGTAAAATGCTACAATGGTATATTATTTGTGCGCTTGTAGATTTCTTTCATATAAATAAATATATTTATATCTATTCTTTCTAGTCACATAATTAATAAAGATCTGCTTAGTATTATTCTAGTAGTAATGCTATATAGTACCAACAAGTATCTCTCTGATATCATCACTAGGGATGACAACTTAATAAAATTAGGAGATATAGGTTTATAATAGGTGGCTATTTAGAAGCAAGTGACACGTTACTAAATACCAATAAGCATTTCTAGCGTTGTTGCTAGGGACTAGATTTAAAACTCTGTTGTTAGTAGCGACGCTAAAAAATGTCAACAATGTTTCTTCTTGTTGTTGCCATTGTTTTCGAGGAGTGGCTGACTGGGGTCCCCACGAATGGCGCCAACTGTGGGGTCACTCCTAGCCTCTTGCCCTCGCTGAAGGACACGGGGGGAGAGGCCGAGGGTTTCCCACAGGTGAATGACAAGACTGACACGAAGGGATAAGCAAGGGTATAGGAAACCGAGGAGATGGAAAATTGCGGATTACGCCCATTAATTTGTTTGGAAAAGTTCTACCTATTTCTTACACGAGCGGTCCGGGCATTTATAGGCCATACCCGGAGACGCGGTGGAATTACATTAGGGTTAGACCCTGGCCAGTAAACGCTATACAAGAGCCAGGGGTACGACGGTAATCTCCTTTCCTCAGCAAACAACTCCCGGGTCCAATTGCTGACGGGACGGTTCCTTCCCACGGTAGGTAACAACCTTCGCGCGCCCCCGGTGAGGGTTTGTTCACCGTCACCGTCCTGCGACCTTCTTGCCATACACCTCTGGCGTAGCTGACCTTCGATCGTGCCCCTTGAACACAGATGAAAAAAGCCGATCAAGGGCACCCTAGTCGCGGGGGTGGTGCCCAGGACAAGGGCGGGTTAGTTGAGCCAGCGCCAGGTCGAGGGTTAGGGGAGGAGCGGTGCCGGGGTACCTCCCCCAACATAACCCTTAAATTTACACCTAAAATTCCACTTCTATCATTACTAAAACAAATTAAAATATCGCCCGGTATCTATAATTAAATTGCTAAGGTATGCTATTATGAAAAAAGTTTAAAAACCATAAATTAACCTATATATGTTTCTAATTACCTAATTTTATTACTGTTAATATAAAAACTTTTTAAAGTACAAATACATGTTGCGCCCATTAAGATCAAGTGTACATGCATGCATGGTTGATGAATACATATTTTATGTTTCAATGATCATGAGAAATGTTCTCTTAATGATTCATATATCAATTAAAGTAAAAAAAATATTAATACTATATCCACTTGTTGCTTTTGATAAATAAATATATTTTAACTAAAACAATATGATATATATTTATTGATAGTAGTCTTGTACTATTTTCAAAAATGAATACTATTATGCATATAATTGTATAACAATAAATCCAATATCTTAAGCAGTGAAGAAATAAGTGCTATGACCTCCTAGTCTTTAAGATTTCTTTGCAGCAAACAATAATTACTATGCTCAAATATAGCATTATTTGGAGGTTACCATCCTTGCCCATCCTATATCTCTCCTCAAACTGCAATGCCCATCTTGAATGTTTTGAGATATAGCTTTGCCCTTGCAGTATCTGTATGTGTATTGAGATAGAAAATAAATGAAGATAGCGCAAGAACTAATTTGGTAACCATTGATTAATTTGGACTGGAATAAATACCACTTCCACAATGTTTATGGACACCCATATATAAGAGTTTAAAGAGTACTCATATTTCAACACGCTTCCTTTATGATAAACAACATCACCTAAATTTACATCTAATTACCCACCTATGCAATTATAAAACATAATCTTTGCCTTGTCCACCCATTGTTGGGTCAGATATGTGAAAATGAAGCCCATATAAGCCCATAATGACCCCAAGCCTTGTTTGATGATGAAGACCATATGTGAAAATGAAGCCCATATAAGTGGGTGACTTTTTTTGTTTCTTTTTTTCCCCCATATAAGGTGTGGCCGTGTGGGTGACGTTTCAAATATCACCTAGGCTAGAGGACACCTGATGCAATGAAACATGGAACACGCCGCTACATGGCGATGCCCTTGACCACGCCGTGGGTACGCTACGGATGCTGTGCCGCCCTAGGAGTATTTTATATTCGGAGTCTTGATTAGGTATTTTTTCTGAAAGAAAAAAAAAGAACTAATCATTCATGCGGGTCAGGCTGAGGGCGCATTACCCGTAGCCCATCATTTTCACAGGCCCTACACCTGCTCCCTGCTGCCACTCGCTTGTGTTGATATTTTGCCAAAAGTTTTGCAGTTAGCAAATCGCGGAAACGGTACAGTACTACTTCAGAGTTCAGAGCAGAGCAGAGGAGCCAAAGGAGGAGCGCAGACGAAGAAGATGGGAATTCTCGGAGAAGGGGTGAGCGTTGTGATGAGGCCGCTGCTGCACCTCTTGGTGGGGATGGTGCTGTACGAAGCGGCGGAGGAGATGGCCGTGCCGGCGCTCGTCGACAAGATCACCGCCGCGCTCTGCCCCGCCGGCAGCGGGTCGTGCCCGGAGGCCATCTACCTAACCGGCCTTCAGTCCTCGGTATCTATCTATGACCTATCCAGCTTTCTGCGTTTCTTCTTTGCACTCTGGTCGTGGCCCGTGGCCGTGTGATGGTCGCCAGCAGCCTTCAGGCTGCAGTTGCAAGCCATAGATGAGATGAGTGAGTGAGAAAGAGATATTTTGTTTCGTCTTCTTCTATAGTCTTCTCTTTCCTCTCCCTCGCTCACACAAGGCGGCGGAGAGCTTGAGACGACGCAGCCACGCAGGGGAGTGAGGAGGATCTTTTCAAGAGTCACCTACCATGCTCCCACTCGCACAGGACCACTGTGATGGTCCGCTAGTTGGTGCTATACTAGGTGGCCCACAAGTCGACGGTGCCATGGTGCCATCCGCGCTGGAATCCCTCATCGAGCCTAAAAAAAAAACAAATGATCCGATTGCGCCTTACACATCCTACCTACTGTGTAATATAACGTGTACCGCGGTACCGGCCGGAATCCAGGTTAGTGAAACGACACAACATAAATAGTGCAATTTTGTTTACAGTACATGCTATGAGTGATTTGGTGAAACTCTACCATCGGTGTTTCAGGATTATGTTTCTATTATGGCATTATTATATTGGAAATAAAGTAAAAAATTCAGGGTAAAAGCATGATACTTTGGGATACAGTGTTTTTATCTCACAACACAGTATCAGCCGGCTTATAAGCCACAGAAACGATCAAGCGAACATGCTGATGGTTTTACAACCCCAACTAACACATAATTGTCTCCTTAAGTCTAAAACCACACACTACGCAACCTTCAACAACCATGTAACAGCTCCTCCCAATTTTCACCTCACATGAATGGTACTTGCAACTATGTGTGACACGTGAACCATGAGTTTTGAACACTATTATAGAAACATTTTTTAGCGGTGACTCTTTTTTTTTTGGTACGGGTGGCTCTATCCGCCTCTACAAATAGTTTCTGAGCCGGTCCACCTCTAGAAAATCCATTATACTTTGGGATGAAAGGAATGCCTATTTTTTCTCTTTATGTGAATAACAAATCTCATGTATAATTTCTAGACAATAAGGATAAAGACGTCTATTATATCAGTCGATCTTTTTATTTAAGGATAATAATTTTTTTTGTGTGAGAGAAGTAACACATGCTGTTTATTGTTTGTTTGATGAGTACAGGTAGGGGCGATTTTTAAGATAATAGGATTCCCTCTAATGGGCCAGCTAGCTGACGAATATGGTCGGAAGCCTCTTCTCCTCTTAACTGCCTCCACCTCCATAATACCTTTTGGTAATTTGCACTGTCTTGTTTTTTGCTCTTTATGTGTCTCTCCTTCAGTGTGTAGGCCATACCATTCACTCTAAACATGCATGGTACTGTTTTTGTCTATGCATACTTATTACACCATTTGCACTAAATACTAATTTTTTTGTTTATGCATGCAGCTGTGCTTGCATGTAATAATTCAAGGACTGTTGTGTATGTCTACCTTATTCTGCGCACCCTTTCATTCTTGATTGGCCAAGGAACATTGTTCATCATTTCAGTTGCATACACGGTTAGAATTACATCATTTTTTCTCATCTTTGTAACAAAATGTGGTGTGTGTCACTGGTTAAACTAGTATTAAAAGCCATTTGGTTATGGCGACAGACGCCCCTACCTAGATCTAAGAGAGTATTATATCGAACCCTTAAGATATTTACTTAGGAGCTGTTTGGTGAGGAGTCACACCATTCTAGATAAGGTGGTGGGTGCACCATGAGTCCAACGAACTAAATTTGGCAAAATGGTTCTAATTGTTAACTTGTGAAGAATGAGGTGGTGGTGAATCAACTCAATATGTCCCACAAAACTAAGTAGAAAGGTGAAGAGCGAGAAGAGGATTATTAAATGACATGCAAGCACCTGGTTTCAAGCCCATGTTAACCAGACCTCTCAATTGGAGGCTTTACCAACCATGCTATTGCTCGGTTCACTCATGTATTTGCTACATGCATGTACATGATTTTCTACAACACCAACAAATTTTTTTGAATGCTCATTGTTGTACATAGTGTGGGTGACTAGGCAATACTTGAATTACCCTATGGTTCAATAGTTTATTTTAATGTTATTTATTTAGTTAGTTTTATTAATCGAAGTCATAAATAAGATCCTTGGAGCTATCATTTACCAACATTAGAACACAACACTGATATCATAGGCGGATGTGGTTGAGCCGTCAAAGCGAGCAACTGCAATTGGCTTCATAACAGGAATTATTTCTGCCTCGAGTGCTTTGGGAGATGTTTTCTCAAGGTTTCTACCCAAGAATTGGATTTTTGAGGTATCATTATTAGTTGAAATAATATGTGTGATTGCATCAGCATTGTTGATTATTTAGTAATATATAAGTTGTAAACACGGTTTCACAGGTGTCCGTTGTTTTGTTGATCTGTTCGGTTCTCTATATGAAAATATATCTTGTGGAGACACATCCAAGAGCTCTAGCATCTTCATCTTATCGTCATTCATCATTGTCATCTTTGGTTACCAGGGTTGCACAACAGCGTTGGGAATCTATCAAAGCGAACATTACTCTATTCAAAAATAGGTAATCTTCTGTATATAGAAGTTAATCGACTAAGAGATTTTTGAGAATTCATGTAAACTCTAAAGCATTTAATTATCCTTCCTATTGGTTGTGAAGAAATCGGAATGACACATTCGCATTTGCATTTCGGACAACATAAATAGGATTGTCATAATGTCACTAGTTAAAACTTGCAAGGGTATTTTGCTTATGCAGTCTTTCCCAATAAATTAAGCATGCATAAATTTAATATGAGTACAAAGATATATCATGAAGGTTTCTTGTCAAGATTTAACTGAAACCTTTTCCTTCATTGTTGAAGGGACTAAAGGAATAAATAGTATAATTGCCTCATTGATTAAAGAGAGTTAATAGAATCCTACTTCCCATGTATGGAAACTTTGATGCCCCCTGACTAGCAAGTTTTGAAGTTAGCTACAATAGCTAATATAATTCTTCATGAATTTTCTTGTGTTGTTTTCTTTGTAGTGAATCACTTAGGCGAATAGTATATGTTGACTTCTTCAATAAATTGGGCATGAGTGGCATTATTGATGTCCGATTGGTAATAACTTCTATAACTTGTACTATATGATATGATGTTTGAAATTGTGTGGCTTGAATTATAGACAAATCTAAAGATTGTTTATCATTTATATCACCTCACTTTTGGCAGTATTACTTGAAAGTCTGTATTTGGCTTTGACAAGAATCAATTTTCAGAAATTCTGATGGTGGTAGACATTGGTTCCATCTTTTCTCAGGTGCTACATTAAAAGTCCTAAACCATTTTAATTAAAATCCATATATTTCCAGTGTTTTTGTTAGGTTGATTATTATTATGTTTTGTGACAATGTTACTAAAATTATAGATTTTGGTCCTTCCCCTAATGAGCCACATTATTGGTGAAAAAGGAATCATATGCGTCTCAATCTTGGCATCCATTGCCTATGTGAGTTATTGCACCGAGACATTTATATATATTTTCACTATCTCAGCAAAAAAAAAAATTACAAATTTTGGTATATTGATGTAAGGAATCTATTTTTTCAGGCTTTGCTTTATGGTGTTGCGTGGGCTTGGTGGGTATGTATTTAAGCACATACTTGCTTCAAGCAAGTGCAATTCTAAGCAAAACTATGCACACAAATCAGGGTTTAGTAGGTACAGCTATGACAGTCTCCTGCATTTTCCTTGTACCTATATTGCAGGTTCCTTACTTTAGCTCTTTATTGGGTGTCATCTTTGTGATGGCCAGACCAGCTGTAAGTCAATCATATATATCTATCCTTTAATAACTGTAACATCAAATTTTACAGTTCATAATTATTATATAAGGGAGGCAGTTAGCCACTAACTGTTTTTTCCTCAGAAACAAACTCTATGTGATATGTGATTAATTATGCTCTTACTATCATGCTGAGACATATACAGATCCATGCAATCGTTTCGAGGGAAGTAGTCTCAACTGACCAGGTATACACATACAGACACCACCGGTCTTGGTTCTATCTGCAAATCAGTCCTAAAACCTTTGTCTAATCTTATGTGTCATCAATTTATTTATTTACTTCCATAGGGGAAGGCACAAAGTTTCATTGCGACTGTACAATCTGTAGCTATATTGCTGGCACCTCTGTTTATGAACCCACTAACCTGTGAGGGAACCCTTTATCTTGTACCAATTAGGCAATTTCCCATAATGCACGTGGACCCTGACCCTGTACACTGATTCCTCTTATTTTGATGTCATTCTATCCTGCACCTCTGTTTCAGCTTACTTCATTTCAGAGGAAGCCCCTTTCAATTGCAAAGGTTTCAGTTTCCTAGTGGCTAGTTTTGTCTTGGTTAGTCTCTTTCGTTATCTTGATATGGTAGACATGTAGCAATGAAGGATACATTTAGAAATAGAATGTGAACTAAGAGATGTATTGTGATGCTACAATTTTTTTTCAGGCAACATCTTTATGCTTTGCTTGGATGCTGAATCCAAAAGACAGGGACAAATGCACAGAAGTTCCAAGTTCAGACGAGTGTAATGAGGAAGGACTGCAAGCACCACTATTGATTTAGAATGTACAAAAATACTCTACAGGTTACTAGAAATTTTTTTTGTGACATTTGTATCGTCCCTTCAGTTTTATAGTTCTCTTTATGCCACTGCCGTCAGCACCATTGCCTCTCTCCACCATCATCCGTCGATCGGTTTAGTACAGGCAGGCCCCACGTAGAGTAGGAAGAAAAGGTACGGAATAAAACATTTCTTCCACGTAGGACCCACCTGTTTGAGGTGCGTTGCTGATTAGTAATGCCATATCTTTTGGCGTAGTGGCAAATACCGAACTGAAAAACTACTTTGACATGATCGTGAATGAAGGGACAATGATCCTTTTACCCTTAACAGATATTTCATGGACTTTGAATAATGCTGGTGGCTTAGAAAGAACTGAAAAATTATAGTGATGGTATATATGTCGCAGAAACTTTTCTAGTGGTCTGCAAAGTATTTTGATAACATTCAGGGCACATGAGGAATTCTCTCGTTGGCTTAATGCATGGTTAGCTCAGGATTGTGAATACAGTTGACGAAGCAGAGTTGCCACTGTCCGTGGCAAGGTTGGACTGACGAGCTTGGTATCTGCAAAGCGAACTACCAGTCGTTGCACCGATGACTTGTTGGACGCATGCAGATGACGATGCATGGTCAAATTCATGCTCTCTGTCTAAACATTGTATATTTAAAACCAGAGGGAGTATTACTTTACATAGGCCTCGAAATTAGGGTCATGAGGGAGATCTTTTTGGCCATTTGGAAAGTTTTTTTTTGACATGCACGTACTTGAGCCTTCTTCCACCTCAATCTCTCTCATACACTTCACGTGGGATAGCATCAAAGTTTGAGCTTTGTAGTTATAAAAAAAAGTTTGAGCTGTTGCGCAAAAAAAAAGTTTGAGCTTTGTGGCACTAGCAAGTCTTCACGCAAGTGACATCAACTTGTTACTCTTGGAAGATGTCGCCTCCTAGACATCTTAGAGATCATGGATCCGTGGAGCACTTCAAAACAAGATTGTGAAGGTGTCAGGTTCATAAACCCGGGGTCCCTCTGGGACCGGCTTCCGCGCCAGGGCTCGGCCCAGGAAAAACAGCATGTAGTCCATGTGCCGGTCCAAGAGTCTAAGAAACAACGGGCCGGGAGGATAGTCCGGTCGCCGACTGGGAGGTCTACCCAAAAGAACAAACGTCCGCTCGTCAACTTCTTCGGCCCACCTTTTCGACCGGAGCGCTCGCTTAAGGCACCGGCCGCCTCCAGGCGGTCCCTCCGATCGGAGGGCCTGGCCCAAAACGCTGCTTCCTACTCCGACCCCGCGACTCCGACCGGGGACCCGTAGGAAGCCTGCGTACCGCTCTTCTCCGACTGGCGCGGCCAGGGCCGACTGGAGCCATCCGACCAGGGTCGCCCGCTCGGAAGGGACCAGGGGCGAACGGAGAAGGCAGCGCACAAAGTCAAACCACGATACCGGGACCATACCCTATACGCCTGCGGGAACAATGCTCCACGACCATCCTGACACAATCAGTATTGTAGGCACCGACATTTGTATCTACAGTATTGTAGGCGCCGTTGGACTCCGGTACGGCAAAAAGCCCCCACATGCCTCTAGGCATCGATGGTACTGTAGGCGCCAGGATTCACCATACCTGGTACACGTGACAGGGCTCCTCACAAACCAACAGTATTTTGCAGGTACCAACATCCACTCTTCCTGAAGAAGCCAACACAACCTCTGCACCTGACATTCTACAGTGACGTCAACAGTATTGTGGGCGCTTACCATCATCGCCGCCCTCGTCGGCGTGGGCAACAAGGCTTAGTAACATCCGTACTCTCTCCCTCTCATCTGTAAAGTCATCCCCTTTATCTATAAAAGGGGATGCGCTCCCTCCAACGAAGGAGGTCGACTTCTTCAAGTTCAGACTCACTAGATCGATAGCTCACAAACCCCTCAAGCACACGCTTGAATACCTAGCTCATAGCGGAGTTCCGGTCGCCCTCGGCCCTTTCGATCGGACCCAACCGGGCCTCTCGTACACCCCTCCTTTCTCCTTCTTGTTTGTAACCCCACTACAGACTTCGAGCACCTGGGCTCAGGAATAAAGTCACCGACTGACCCACACTGGACGTAGGGCACGTTGCCTGAACCAGTATATATCCTGTGTCATTGAGTGCTAGGCCACCTCCATTCACAACGTACAGCAAAACTATAAATATTCACTAGTTGGTCACTTTCTATACCGACAGTTGGCGCCGTCCGTGGGGAGGACGCTATACATTCAACACTTTTTGGTCATCGGATGGCCCATTTTTCCGCCACCCCCACCGTGGCGGGCTCGGGCGATATGATCCGCCTCGGCTCACTGGAGTATCCCACACTCTCGCCTGCTGGGATGTGGGTTCCTCCCATCCTCGAGCCATCCCAGGCCTTCCTCTTCGGAAGCTTGGACTTCATCACCGACCGGCTCGGCGTACTCTACCTCCGCAAGGAGACTCATGACCCGGCACCCATCGGAGAGACGTTCTCCATCGACTTCGGGACGCGCGACCTCTACGGCGCGGCATCTGCGCGTCATTCCGAGCAAACTCTCTGCTCAAACCCCGCTGTGAGTAATATACATGCCGTTCTTTACTTACTATATTCTATCCTTTGCCAAATACACGGAGGGCTGCCGTTGTCCCCGTCGCGGCCACCGTACAACCGGTTCCCCTATGGCCTTGCGTCTCCCGTGAACGCGTATGCCCGGGGGCTCCGAAAAATCATGGCGCCGCCTCCTCTCACATCTGAGTTCGTGGGGATGGCGAGCTACGCTCCCACCTATTTCCTCGACATCATAGACGATGACGTCGGGAGTGACGGCTCTGGCATCGGCGACGTGGCACCCAGCCACCGACCGTCCTAGGAGTGCGCTATGACGGACGCTCTAGAACAGCCGCCAGGGGCAATGAAGTCCTCACGGACTCACGCCCCTCCAGGCCCTCATACGAAGACCCCCAAGCTCACGCTTGAGCACGGGGAGGAACTACGACGACAGTGGCCGCATCAGCCACTGACTGCGCCAGCACGCTCGGCGCGCTACACTGCGCCCCGTGCACGTGGACCGGCGAACGGTGCTCAGGGTCGCGCCCATCAAGTCCAGCGCAACACCCCGGATAAATGAACCGATCCCCCGCAGTTCGCTCGGGCCAGTCAGAACATTGTCGCTGCGGCAATGCTCCTGCGTGGCCTGTTCGAGCCGAACGACCCTCGTGAATGGGCGATCCACCGAAACCTCTGAGCACTGGTGGAGACCGCCGCCGTTCAGCAAGCGGAGTGCTCCGTATCGCGACGCCGACTCACGACCTCGCTCCCCGTCCGGGGAACGGGGATGCAGCAGATGGGGCACTACACCCTGTCACTGCAACAACCGCCGAGCGTGGCACATGAGGCCGCAACGGCACCTCATCTTGACCTGACGACCGCTCCGCACCAACCTCCTATCTATGCGCGGCTCGGGCCAAACCGAGGCACATGCAGCGGCGACTAGAGTCCCAGCACTGATGGCCCAGGACCACCGACCTTAGCCCAACTCCCCCAGCAAGCGTCGTTCTTACCGCGCTTCAACAGAGGCCACGACAAAGGTAAGGCCAAACGCCAGGATCAAGACAAAGGCCCCTCCATGTAGAGGGGAAAAAAGAACAGAAAGGATCGCCACCGACCGGCCAACTCCGCTTCGGTCGCCACGGCCGAACAGCTGGGCACGTAGCCCCAGCAGGACCGATCGGGACACTTTCAGGAGCTCATGGAGAGCCCGTGCACCAACCACGACTATCCCGTCAACCATCTCTACAAGGACTGCCAGCTCCTCAAGCACCTGCTAAGGTAGTCTGGCAGGCCAAGGAGAGAAAAAGGCAAAGAAGTAGCAGCAGAAGAAGGGGGCACAGCAGGCGAGGATCCAGACGACTGAAGACTGAAGTGATCCGACCGGACGCCCACCAACTGAAACACAATGACAATAACATTCTCTCGAAACGCTTGGAACAACTATGTCATTTTTTCCTTTCCCTAAGTTTCAGTTTTACCATTGTTTACTTAGCGAACGCTCCTATAAGAGCACCCCGACCCGAACACTTTTTGGCTCAGGGCACTCGGGGGCTCCACTAGGGGGCTCTACTACCCCCCATTTAGTTTTTACTTTGAGTACTCTTTTACTTTCATATGAAGAAAACTCCTTCCCACCCGAACAGAAGGGTGGTTCGTTCTTTTGATTTGCCTTACGTAGCTTTGCTTTAAAACATTCCGACTGATCGCACCCCGCCTTTTCCTATGGTTACGAGTAGCCGAGCCTCACGGGCCACGCCCTGGGCTCACAAGGTTGCATCCTACAGGACAAACGGGCAGGTACAAGAAAGAAAGAAATAAAAAATAAAATTATGCTAAGGGAAAACCAAGAAACGAAAGGGAACAACCTTCCCCGAATAGAGCAACTCCATCACAAAAACAAAAAAAATTTGTAGTCATTAAAACACACACAAACGTTTTACACAAGGGCTCCCCCACGAACTTAAACTTTCTACGTTTACTAACTACTTATATTCTGCAAGCTATTAAACCAACCCGGTGGCATCTGCTGGCGGCACGACCGACGAAGGCACAGGCTGCTCACTCCCCGGCGACACGACGTTCGGCTCGATCGAGGCCGAGGCAACATCCCTCCCCAAACCAGGCTCCGGGCTATCCGCAGGCTCGGAAGCGTCCTCTCCACGCATGCTTCGAGCCATGTCTTCACGGCGAACGTCCATCACCCACTCGGCGGAGACTCACTATGACACTGACCGTGCGTGCTGCAGCAAGCTCTCCCCGATTGATTGGATGTCCTCCATGCTCAGACCTTCAGCATACCCACTGCAGATAGCATCGAAGTCCAGGTTCGGGTGGTGCGTCGCCACCGAGGTCAGCACCCCGATGCTTCATAGAATAGCCCGCTCCTGACAAGGTCCCGGACCGCATCTGGAACCTCTGCCAGCTGGACTACGGGCG